TTTGTCCCTTTTGTTGTGATGGTTTCGTTTCACCCAAGCCTCAGACACGGATCTGCGTGGGGGTTGTCTACATTCTGGATGGGTTTTTAGGCCAGCGGATGAAGGTAGAGGGGTAATTTCCAAATGGCTTGGCTCAAAGCGTGTCTTTGTCTTCACCGGCTTTCATAACCAGACTAAAAAATACAGCCCGCACAAACATGAAACCTGTGCCAAATAGAGTCCATGGAGACAATACATCATAGACGTTACTGCTGCATGTGATTTACGCTTAAAGCTTAGTCATGGCAGGATCAGTTGAATATGAAAAAAATGAACAAAATGCAGGTTTGAGGTCAAATTTTCCCACTGGAAACACTTTAAATTGCCAATTTCCACTTGTGTTTTTATGTTTCTCTCATTTCACTTGACATCTGATCATACTCTACTCTAGATATATTCTGTATTGCATATATTTCTGTCATGAAAACTCATAGTGTTTGGCATGGTAATGGATGGTAATGGTAATGTCTGACATATTTGGAGAAAGTTGAATCAACTTGAATTAAGGCAACCATCTTAAAGCTTTTTTGAGGTTACTGAACTTCAGGGCTCTGCTGTTGTGCTAACTTGTTTTTATTTAGTTGGACTGGTAGTTAGATGAACTTACTGAGGAAGGTATAATTAACTTAATCAAATAAGTTTAGTGAACTTTCAAAAATGATTTGGCACAACTTCGACCACTGAAGGTGAGTAAATAAGCCGTTTGCCTTATTTTTTTAAGTTGACTCAACTTTTTCTTTTTTACAGTGTACACGACACGCTGCTGTGAGCAAGTTAGACTGCTGCTGTACAATATAGTGTAATTACCCATAGCATATTTATACAGGTGGAGCTGGGGAAGATGAAGGGTTTCTGAAAGCATTAAAGGTTTAGCTCATTGGCTACTGATACAGCAGGAACCAATCAGCTGTGCCCTATAGAGAATAATGTAATTGAAAACAGTTTGAGTTAAGGACCTATTAGCCTGCGCCATCTAGAGTTTCATGACAGAACTTTGTATTTTTAACTTTCCTAATTATTTCTAATCCATTTTATATTTTATTCTATTTGATTTATATTTTATTGTTATTCTATTATTACTACTCATTACACACAGAAATGTCCAATGTAAATATCTATTATATTAAATGCAATCACGTTTGTGTAGATTTCACAATTTTAAGCTAGCATGGGGACTGTGAGCTTCTCTATTCATGAGCATGTCCGAGTGCATCTGTTCCATTAAAAAACACCTTAATTCAATGAGTCTTTTTGTTGGAACCCCTCAAAACAAGGACTATCAGAAGTCCTCTTGATTAGAGGACTGAGATCCTCTTTTTGATACAGAAGTGGACATCATCTTGTCTTTGAGGAAGTGCAGTGCTTCATCAGCGGTGCCTCTTTATCAGGCTTGTACTAAATTTAGGAGTAAAAAAAGTAAGTACACTGCAGTAAAGTAGCCTTGCCCATTAGTGACCCAATGTTGTACACTGGGAACATTGTGACATCTCTGTCTTACCCGCCAAAAGTAAACAGCACCTCCCTCCTTTGATGTCATAACTGCTCATTAGCACACAAAAGACTACTGATTATTCTTCTTCAACTGAACAATCGCGGATGAAGTAATCAATGGCACGCACTGCGTTTTAAATGCAATAACAAACTGAGTCACTTTTTTTAACAGACTAGCTTAGTGACTGTTTAGTAACATGTTTACAAATCAACTTGTTGGTATTGTCAGCTGATTAAAGGGATAGTTCACCCAAAAAATATTATTCCAAACCTAGACTTCTTTCTTTTGTGGAACACAAATGAAGATATTTTAAAGCAGTGTTTCTCAACTGGTGGTTCGCGGAGTGTGCAGTCAAAGAAACAACATGGAACGTAATTCTGTTTTTTCTGATGCAAGACTTTTATTTTGAAAGATGTGCCTGAAAGCTGTCAGACGCATTTTAAGTGCCTGAGAAAAAACGGGTTGTCCTGATTCAGTATCTGCGAGTCAAATGAGATGTTGTCAGTGTCATTACTCTAACGTAATTTTTCTAACTTATGCAATAAAGAGGAAAATAAATTACCAGCATACAACTTAAAATACAACATACAAGTTCTAAGAAATTTGAGGCCTAATGACCATGGGAAAATGTGGGTTAAAACAGTTGAAAACCCCTGTTTTAAAGGATGTTTCGACGGTTTTGTCCGTACAATGAAAGCCAACGTCGTCCAAAACAACACTTGATCACGTTGAAAGTCAATGGAGCCCAAACCAACATTGGACCCTATTGACTTTTGCTGTATGAACTAAAAACACTGTGACAGTTTTGGTTTGGAAGGACATGAGGGTGAGTAAATGACAATTTTCAGAAAATGTTCCCTCATGAATAGTTCTGCGCTGCTGTATCGTGTTTATATTGGGCCAATTGAAAACTACAAGTCAATGGGATTTGATCTTCTTGTACTTCAGCTCTTCGCAGCGTCTTGCACTATGCTGGTAGGTCTGCGAAGCACTCAGTCGAGGCCACGAAAGTTATTCGCAAACACTTCCAGCCTACCTCCGTCTCCTCCAGTCCACACTCTGCAATGAGTCTTGGCCAGACCTAATGTTGAGTATCTAAAAAGAGCCGGCTGGCTGTGTGGGAGTATTGAGTGGAGTTCAGGCCAGGAAGTTGCCTACACAGCCCTCAGTCTGAGTCAATTTTCACAGAGCTACATTAGGACAAAGGGTTTGAATATCAGACTGTAAAAAGCTGCGTCTGATCCGAAATCACACTCCACAACCCCCTGATCATCTTCCCTAAACGCCCCCTCCGCCTCCACATCACATGCTTGCACACGGCTGGGCTTTAAAAAAAAAGAAATCCTGTCAGGCTCGTTTTTGGTCACAGTTAACATGTTGAAGAGATACCATTTATGCACTTGAGCATATATGAACCAACAAAGATGAATTTATAGAGAATTCATATCTTGTTTTCCAGTAAAAAAATAAATAAATAAAAAATGAGGATACAATTTTAAGAAGCAAATCGAGATATTTGATTTTTCTTGTTTTAGGCATTTGCCAACATTGAGTCAGATTTATGTATAAAAATATGAAAATGTTAAACATAAAATATTGTATTGAAAATCAATAATAAAAATACAGGCTAAATGCCAATTGTCGCATTTTTTCTTCCTTTAAGCATTCGTTTAGTCAGATTTGTTTAAATATAAAATGTTAAATATAAATGTTAATAAAATAAATAAATAAAAATAAATTTAAAAAATCCAATGAGGATGTATTTTTCTTGTTTTAAGCATGAATTTAACAGCAGAATGATGACAATGAGGTTACATTTGTTTTAACCACTCGTTTAACAACATTTAATCAGGTTAAATGAAAACGTGAAAAAAAATCATAAAAAAAATAACTATCTTTATGATTTATAGATTCTGAAAACATCATAACCTTGCATCTCAAGTAATGTTTATTTTTACAATTGATTACATCAGTGATTTGTCATTGTGACAACTGTGCAACTGTGAGCAATAATAAAAGCACACGTGCTGGAAGGATGTCTATTGTGGCAGTACACCATGAACTTCCAGGTATTTGAGGACAATGAGAGGCACGAGAAACACGTTTGTTCTGCGTCCCCTCCGCAGGAGAACGAATGGTGAGGTTTTTTATTTTACTGAGAAGGTGACGTAAAGTAATTTAACCTGTTTTATCGCAGTCAGTCAGCGGATCGTCCGTGGGAGCTGGTAAATAAGGCAGCGGCGAATAATTCCCTTGACATTTACACATTTCTCACGGTGAGTCATTTTCAGCTGGAAGGTGAGGAGAACGAAAAAGTTATCCAAAAATGGATTTATTGTTATGCATCCCTTCGTGGCGTTCATAAACCACGCTATTATCCCTGTGTGTGTGTGTGTGTGTGTGTGTGTGTGTGTGTAACTCGCCATCTACGCCCACGCACTCGCTGCTGTTGACAGTGCCTGGTGTTCTTTCCTCAATTTACCTCAGTGACTGTAATCTCAGAGAGCGCGTCATCGTGCAGGCTAGTGCGTCATAAGGGAAGCATCACCTCATGGCGCGCGCACAGACGACGAGCTGAGGCAAACGGAACACAGCACTGCCATCTATCTCGCGCTGCTCTAAACAAATCCCTGTCTCTAATCCTCAAATGCAACCATTTATATTCCCTTTCAAGGTCCGACAACAAAGGAATGCTACACTAAGAAGACTCGAAGTAAACAGAGGGAAAATCCCTAAAAACCCTTCTTCAAATGACAATTATATGAATGCAACACACAGTATGTGCATAAAATAACGTCTCGGTGGGCATAATTACACAGTTGAGATACAGCAAACAAATGCTCAAGACATTTAAAGGGATAGTTCACTCAAAAAAGAAAATTCTGTCCTCATTTTACTCACCATTGTGTCGTTTGTATGAAAACTGTCTTTATTCTGTGGAACACAAAAGGAGACATTTTGAAGAACTTTCTGGCTGCTCTTTTTTATCTTTACTGTCCCATTTCATTTGAAACATAGCGATAATGTTCTATAAAATTCTGAGAATACACTAATTGAAATGCATGTAATGTTTAACATCTCAATTCAGATGAATGAAATCTCCCATTTCCATCACCATCAGTGCTCATGACAGAGCAATATCTCCAAGCAAGGACATACAGTGCATTCCACTTAAGGATGAAAACACTAGGAGTGTCTTGCACTCGCACATACACAAAGTGTGAACATCGAGATTACACAAACACAATATTGCTTTTTCCTTAAGAGGGTAGTGGTTCAAAGAAAGTTCAACTGGCTTTGAAAAGCCGGTAGGGACTTGAGTGTCACAGGCAATGTAAGACATACTTACGTCAGAATTTTGTAGAGTAACATTTCTGTGGAAAAGTAAAAGGCAAATATTATCAATACTGATTGGCATTTTGAAACTCATTGCATTGCACAAATTCCTACCTATCACTTTTGAACATATATCAAATGTAAAATAAAATGTAAAGTAATAAAACAATATCAACTATGTTTTTGAACTTAAGGGTTATTTTAAAGGGTTTTAGTTGCAATGGACAGCACCAAAAGTGCAGTGCAGGGAAATGACTGAATATTCCGAGTCACCTGATGGAAAGCCAGCTCCATTCATCCAAATGTCATCCCTGCCAAATCCAGAAATTTCCCATCCGTTTCATTGCAGGCAGTCACAGACAAAGGGACCGAAATGTCAACTGAGACAAAGTGATCAGTAGATACAGGACATATCAGCTTGTGTCTTCATGGACCGTTTCACGTAGGTGAGTCCCATCACGTTGTGACATCTGGATGCTAATCCAGCTCCATGGGTGAAGCGGAGAATATGAATGAGCAGTCGAGCATCATAACGTTTAAAGTTAAAGATAAATACAGGGTGTCACGTTGATCCTTGATGTATCTGAACAGATCGCTGGATGGCCTGCTGTTAAGATTGAGATGACAGAGCCTGAATCTCTACCTGTGCGGGAACAGTTGCGTAATTAGCATTTTGGATAACTGCTCAGTGGCATAAATGAACTCGAACTGCCATTGAAGAGTTCTAGATATAGATATCTGCTTTTTAAAAAGACTTCCGATATTCAAACGCACAAAATCCAGAGCACTAGTAAAACAAAACTTACTCTGGAACAAATTGGCATACAAAGTTAGCTAGGAGTTAGCAAAGAAAATTCAGAGTTAGCACTCACTTTGTGGTTATTCTGCATGTCAGAGACCATATATTCTACTATACATACAGAAAGTTTGTGAAGGATAAAGGTCACTAGTGGTTGAGCTCAAGAACTGATGAGCACGCAATCCCCACTTCCTTAGCTTGTAACGCTATAGACAGGCGCCGCTCCATTGACAGTGATGAGGGCCATGTTGAGAGATGAATCTGGACAAAGGAGCCTTGAAATGCAGCACAACTAAAAAAAACACAACCTTATCCACACTACTTTGCTAATGCAACATAAATGCCAAATCCAGGAAGCCAATATGTCCATTGTGGAGGAGGTGAAATGCCAGAATTACGTAAACATTGGCCCTGACCCTGAGCTCAGGCCAGCTTTACATGAACTTCCCTGTGTCTTTCTTCTGCAGTGCCCCCACGGCAGCTGTGTCAACACACACAAGGGTCCTGACCTTAAACAAACCCTCATGAAAGTCATTATACACTGTCCCACTAATTCACCCACATTCGGATATATGACGACGGTGTGAAATCGTAAATACGCAATAAAAATAAGGGCTCAGGTTGGTGTGTTTGGTTTTGTAATTACCTCAAAAACAATGGGTCTCATACACCAGTAATCACATGGATTATTCGTCTTTATATACACAGAAATAATTTTAGCCTAATTCACAACACATGCATACGCACATGAATCTGTTCTTCACCTCATTGCAATGTTAATGAATTGGGAGTAGTCTAAATGAGGGACTGCATGCCCAATGTTAGCAAAACACGCCCACACCATCTCCACACAACTTATTCTTTAGAGCTTTTCGCCAACATATGACGCTCTCTCGCATGAGAGCGTACGTTGTAATAAACACCTTTAATATAGACATCCCAAGCCAGCTGTATATACGTGTATCTGCGTTTTTATGCAGAGGAACCTCGGAGCTCAAGCTATAATCCAGCTTTTCTTACTACAGTCTAAGATGAAATATAGGTGAAGTATATACAAATAAAATTTCATATTAACACATTTATAAGGCCATATCTGATTTTTGTGTATGGGTTGGATACAATTTTTTCCTAAATTTAGAATACATTTAGTATGAAAATTATTGATGAATCAGGATTTATTCGTATTCTAAAGATACGTACGTTCAGCGGTTCACCCTAAATGCTTTATGTTTACGTCAATCTGGATAACATGAATTTGCTTGAAAACCAGATGGAAAATCATTTACATTTTTGCTTGACAATGAACTGTTGTATTTTGAAACTGGCCTTTTTTGGACCAACCATTCATGCCGGTTCTGTATTATTGCTAACATAAATTAGTTAGCAAGACAGCGCTGGGAATTTATAGGTGGATATTATTCTAACGGCTGGATGTTATTTATTCTTCGTTTGTGCGCTTCCTCGTCTCTGGTTTCCACTTTTATCTGTTTTTCCAGAGGGCCCCTTGTTTGGTGTCATAACAAACCCGCCCTGCGCCTCCATTCGACGCTGTTCCTTCGACTTCGTTGACACAACTTTGCTGCGTTGCACGTTGCCCCGCTGCATTTTTGTTTTTCTTTCTTCTCAGATTTGCCTTGTCAAAATGCATCACAGCGGAAGTGCAGTTACAAAGCGCCTGCATCAGATGCGGGTTGGGTTTCAAAGTCAACTCGAGGTCTAACGTCCGACTAGGGCGTTGGAAGCTTTAGAGTCGTCCGGTGCACCGCAGAGTGACTCATTGTCACCTCGTCAGCCTTTACAGGAGAAGCCGGTGCTGAAAACCCCTCATTGTTCACATCCCGGCTTCTGAAAAATGTTGATATAGGTGTTAGGCGTGCCAAGCTCCCTCCTCCGGAAATCATCCGCACACATATAGTCGAGCAGCCACCTCTTCAGGCCTGGCCTTAGGCCCTTTCAGCCATCACTGTGTCACAGCGGGGCTGGTGACTAACGGTTTTGGCTGCTACTTTTGCAAGGAAGCGGCTGACGCTTCAGGGCCACTCTGCCAGAGTACACAGGCTGGGAATCTGGCCAGTGGCGATATAGGAGGGAGCCGCAGGCATGCCAGGCCTGGGAGGGAAGCCATCGCATTAAAAGTGTCTGTTCAAAAAGGGAATAAAAAAGATGGCACGCCGTGACGACACGCGGCGAAGATAAAACAGCCCGCAGGCAAATAAGCGGGACGCGCCGTATGTAAATGCCCGTTACCGGCGAGCCAAAGGACAGCCGTGACGTGGCACCATCGTGAATTTACATGTCAGATATAGTAAAGATAAGCGTTGTAGTATCCAGTTCTGGGTGCTAAATTTAGCGCAGGCTAGAACAAAGCCGTGCACATGTACATGAAGGCCATTTCCTCCTGTTAGATTTTGACCTTTGCAGTCAAGACCGGAGCGCTTCATCCGCTGACACATCAACCCACAGAGGCTGAGAAAGGCCGGCAGAACAATGCACTCTCAACCTGCGAAGAAGAAAAAAAGAGCGATGAGCAGAAAACGGGTACTGTCCCCAACACAGGAAGCCGAGGCAATTCCCTTTGTGTGAAGACTGTGAATGGGTGCAATACTGCTGACCACACACCACAGGCATTAGCAACCGGCACATGGCCATTTCGGTTTGACCTTCAAGCTGGTTCCTGGAGCACAGCTTCAGCGAAATGCCCCCTTCAACCTTTTTGAAAGAGCAGTCATCTGTTTGCCCACTTCTCAGACCTCTCCTTTGTGAAATTTAGTGTGTTTTTAACAGCAGGCAGTCGGCCACAGAAGACCAGTCAACCATGAACCAAAGCCCTTTCAAACTCGACCCCTGACTTATGCGTGACCAAGTCTGCACCTTTTAGGAGTTCAGCATGTCTCCTCTGTTTGTTTTTCAAAACACTGTGGGCTGATTGGAGGATTTTGCTTGTGTATTCTGCTAGACAAACTCCTCTAACAAGGATTTATTTTTGTTCGGAAATGCAAGAGGAGTCGAGGATAGAAAGGAAAACAAAATCATGTGTTTTGTTGCCGTTAGCTCATTAGAAGACGTTTTCTTTTCGCCACCAAATCTTTTCCAGCCATCATTACATACATCAGAGTAATGTTTCCAGCAAGGCCCAAAAAAAGGGGGTTGTACATTACGGATTGCAAAACTAAACTCTTCTAAATCTAAATCTTTTGTTGTTGATGTCAAAGGGTGTGCAACTAATTAAAGCCTACAGTATAAGGTAGACAAATTCGGCAGATGCCAACATGGACGAAAATCAGGGAAATAGGAATCCTAAGGAATGTAGACACTTTTTTTGGTGTATTTCATGCAAATAGGTTCAGCAAAAGGAGTCAGATTGACTGATTAAAGGGATAATTTGCCATTGACAAGATGAACTTTTAAAACTTGGCTGTCTATGGAGTAGAAAGGCGAAAGGTTTTTTTAAATAAAATTTCAAACTACAACTTTTGTCTACAAAAATGCAGTACGATCTCTAATTCTCACAAAAGCTGTTAAAAGTATTTTACTGACAATCGAGAATATCTCAGTGCAGGTAACAGAGAAATACACATTATTCATTTACATATACTGCTGATAGTGTAAAAATACGAAACTGATTTCAAATCGGCAAAGTACCCTTTAAGCACAGATTCACTAAGGGTGTGTTCCTACTTTGGTTCGATTAAAACGAACCCTGGTGCGATCACTCCATGCGGTTTGAATAAGTGTGAACGCTGCCATCCAAACAGTTGAAAAGATGGGTCACGATCCGCTTCCAAACGAACTCTGGTGCGGTTCGAATTATGCGGTTAAATATGAACGCAACACAGACCAAAGCCAAGTAAAGAAACCAAAAACGGGAAGATGTCACAAGTTACTACCCTAAAAAGGACAGAATGCTCAAACATACTTGTTTTTTCTCATCATAGTTGTGATGTTGCCCATCACAGTTGAGTACAGGCGTCAGAACCGCGTCTCCTTGCAGCAGATCTTCATTTGTGTGACGGAGGGATTCCTGCCGCTGTTTTGACTCCTTTTATAAGCTCTTCACAAGTTCTCAGCTGGTCAAAATACAATCATATGTAGGCTACACACACACAACAGGCGTTAAAGAGTCATAAAAGCAGACCAATGAGGTTGGGAACATATCTCTATGCCTTGGTTTGGTGTTAAAATGCCAGTGTGAACACTTAGCGGACCAGGACTAAAAAAAATCGTTTTTTTTTTTTTGGTCCAAACCAAGCGAACCGAACTACAAGTGTGAACACAACCTAAGAAGTTTTTGAATCACTAAAAACCAGTTCAGTCATAAATCAAAATATGTCACGCTGTCTGTTTCTGATTCGAACTACACTGCACATGCTTCATGATTTTGATTCACTGAAAAGAACCAGCTCATAAATCACGAAAATTATCAGAATATAAATACATTTTTATGCTTGATTTTAAAGACAGTTGTTTCTTTCTGCCACTTGATGTCCAATGTAAAAACCACTAGACATACCCAATGTTACCCATGCAAAAAGAAGCGAGTACCGGCTTAGAAGGATCCTGCCACAGAACTGCTTTATTTACCAAACAAACACAACACACTGATAAGTCAGCATTCAGTTCTGTGTACATATATCTGCTGATGTTCAGAGAGTCGTCGGGGTGGTTCAAAAGCGCATTTGATGTGAAGCGTAAACAGACTCGTCCTCTAGGGAGGGTTGTGGTGAATTCTTACATGACGGGAACTTAAACACTGCGGCTGAGGTGTGGGAAAGCGTGAAGTGAAAAGAAAAACAAAGGGAAGGAATTATTGTTTTAAAAGTTTTGCTGTTGGTATTCCAACTCCAAACTTTTTGTTCTCCTTTTTGCCTGTATTATGTCAAGTTTTTGATTATGTTAGCTATGTTTAGTTGCTTTCATGAAGATCTTGGGGGAGCTGTTCCACACCAAAAATGTAAGCAGTGCATAATTGCCTGCGTAACTGCAAGACTCACAGTGTTTTCACACTGATAGTACAAACGAACTTCAGATCTATACAGGAAATAAAGTGATTTCTGAGTGCTTCCAAGTTTTGTTATCAGGAGTAGGTAACTATCAGAAACTTGTTTATCATGAAATCTAATTTACATCTGGAGGGACGTCAAATTTACATCCAAGTTTTAATTCATCTACACAAAACGGAAGACAAATCCTAAAGTGTATAGCTATGAAGTATGAAATTGACTGGATTCTGTCCGACTTTAGTAGGAAATTGGAGTAGCTTATTTTGTTATTCTATTTGGCTTAATAAAAGTGTATACTAAAAAAAAATATGATAAATTGAGTTCAATTTTAACAAGCCCTTTATGCAATAAAAAATGTACTTCTGCTATGCTGCAACACACTCCTTGTGCAGGCAATTTGAATGCTGAAATCTATTAAAATCTTATTTAAATTTATATGATCAATTTAGGCAAGTTATGACAACGTGTTTTACATTGCTTTAACTCAGTTATACGATTCAACTCAGTTTAATGTAATTTAAGTTGAAATATATATCCAAGTTGATATTTATAAAATCTTTTTTTGCAGTGAATGCGTTTGGGAAACATAGGAAACATTGTAGGGTTGAGCCAACAGTTGACATCCCAAAAAACCTTCACAAGATGTCGATATGCGATGCAGACAGACTTTTTTTTTAGCACTTTTGAATGTGTCATTGAAATGTGATCGTTTCACGGTGACAGTTGATGTCTATAATCACAACTGTGAAATTCAATAGCTTAATTCAGTCATGTTCCTTCACAAACCAGCGCAGTGCCAATATTCATTACTTGAGGACATTTATAGAAAAACAGATTGGTGTAAGATTAAATAGAGCTTTATTGCAGCTCATCTCAAGCTCAAAATAACTTGCTATAAGGCCATGAAAATATATATCAGATTCAGCCTTTGACTTGGAATTTAACACTATTTTCATCCAGAACAAAAACCTTAGCAAGTCTCAAGGAATGCAAGGTTTTTTCAAATGAATAAAACGTCGCCACAATGCACACAACGCTCAGAATGCTTTGACTCTTAAGGAGATGGGATTACTTTGTGTGATTGTGGGCTTCATTGTGGAGCAAGGGGATCGTGAGCGAAATCCTCTGTCAGGCACTGGTGCTTATCCCTGTTTCTGGTTTTTTTTTCAACCGAAAGGACTCTGTTATAAACGCATGTAATCTCGGTGACAGACAGAGGGAGCGAAAATTTAATTTCGTGTGAAAGGGGACAAGAAAACACGAGCAGAAAGGGGAAAGAAAATAAAGACGAGGGTTTGAAGAAGCATTTTTGTTTAAGTGTCCTCTTAATAGTTCACAACAAAGACTTTCGCAGCTTAAAACTCAGAGCATGTACTGTATGGTTAGCAATGCGTTGTGCATTATTCATGGCGACTTCAAAATCTCAATTATTGATGAAAGTATAGAAAAAAAATCAGAGGAACTGAAAGAACCGAGCAAGAAAGCATATGAAAGAACAATGATGCAACAGCAGGAAAATGTAAAAACGCAGCAAACTCAACATCAGAGGCTATGTTCGGAAACCGTACTACTCTTACTATTTCTTTAATAGTTGCTATAATTCGTTTAGACAGCCAAAAGTTATTACATTTTAATATAAAACTATGTTAAAAATGCAAAATAATTATTTGCAGGATGATTACTGGAAGCCACTTGCTGAATTCTATTATGCTAACACTAACAAAGTCATGTATAATATCATTGTACTAAATGTTTACTGTTGCATACTGTTATACACACTGTTTAAATATAATACTACGCAGTGTATATTGAGCAGTGTGCTAGTATTCCACTTCCAACTTTAGTCACTGCAATTCATTAGCCTAGCGGTTAGCACACATGCCCTTGACGTGGGTTTGAAGTCGTCTTGTGTCTCGTTCCAGTTCTTCCTCTTTACCCCAATGTTTCCTCTTAAATCTCCTCTCTCACTATCAATAAAATGGCCCAAAACATTTCTAAAATGTAATGGTAAAATGCTATGACCTGTAGCGACCTCATTAAACAGAGACGGAGCTGTGGAGGGTGTCTGTGAGTGTCCTTTCAATCACTTTCCTCAGGGTTTTCTGTTATCGGCTGTAAATAAAAAAGATAGAGATGTTTTGTTCTCTTTAAAAGTAGAGCAAATGGACACTTGCTTAATAAAATTTTTTTTTATAAAATAGTATATAAAATAATATTCTCTAGTCTACATCAACAATTCTCTTAATTTTATGTGTCCTGGTGAAACATCTGAGAAAACTTAATCAAATATCAAAAATGCTCTTAAGCTAAACGAAAAATATAAATGAATGTGGGTAGCACAGATAATTTGGTTTCGGAAGAAACAGGCAAACAGGCCTTAACCCAGATCTCCATGAAAGCAACTAAACATAGCTAACATAATCAAAAGCCTAGCATGGAACATAATACACTTATGCATTTTGCAGACGCTTTCACCAGTGCATTCAAGCGATGCATTTTATCAGCAGATGTGCTCCTTAAGAAATCGAACCCATGATCTGTCTGTTGCTGGAACCATGTTAAAGGGATAGTACGCACAAAAAAGAAAATGTGGTGAATTCCGGTTAATTGGGACATTTTTCACACAAGTCATCTCAATGGCAAAAGGGTCCCAATCACCCTGAATCCCCCCCTACTCAACAATCATCTTCCAAACCTGGATGACGTTCTTTCGTCTGTGGATCACAAAATATAATTAGAGTTTTTTATATATACAGCGAAGGTTAATGGGGTCCAAAATCAACTCAAAAGTAAATGAGAGGAAATAATAACAGAATTTTCTTTTTCTTTCTTTTTTGTGAACTACCCCTTTAAAGAAGTTAAAGAAAGTTGAATAAAACAACCAAGAACCTCCTGAGTCTCCTGAGCTATGAAGGAGCAACTACTGAGAAATAAAATGTTCCTCTGGGCAATACCATCAGTTCTGAACAAACGGTGTGAGGCAAATCATTGTGGTAAATGAGGTTAATACTAGAAAAGGTCTTCATGAGCCCATTTTTTTCTTCTTTTAAGCATTGTGTGTATGTGTATGCACGTCTGTTCGAGGAGGCTTGGGGCCCAGACACTTGGAATCATTTAGAGAGTATGTCGAGTGTGGGTGGAAAGGAATGCGTGCCCAGATAAAAAAGAAAAGAAAGTGAAAGAAAAACAGATGAGAAAAGAAGAGGTGGGGAGTATGTGTGATAGACGGAGAAAGGGCAAACGAATGGTGTGGCGGAGGGGGGAAGCGCCACCTGAGATGGAGGAACGCTTTAAGTGGCAGAACGCAGGGAGGAAAGAGAGGGTGAAAAGAGGACAGCGAAAGAAAGAAAAAGAGGTGGGAGAGGGGGAACAGGAGGGAACAACAGACAGAGGGGGGAGAGAAAGAGATAAAGAGAGAGGGAGAGAGAGCAGAAAAGCAAGCAGCCCACTCTCTTACCTACTGTTCTCCATCAAGCAGATTTCAAATGGCTTTTGCAGGTCTCGCTTAGGGGAACATCTATTCCTATCACAATGCTGCCCACACACATCTCTCTGACAGCCGACGGGAGGGGGAGAGCGAGTAGGAGAGAGGGGGAAGAGATGGAAAATAGAGAGAGAGACATAGAACAAGCAATCGTTCGGGCCTTAATGGTGCACTAGCCTGAGCTGGAGGTTAGCGTGCGATGCCCCCGCTACCCATGAGGTCCAAACAAGGAGGAATCGAGAAAGCTTTCTGTTAACATTCCCATTCAGCTCAATGGCAGTTGCTTGGCTGGTGCAACTGTGCCGGAAGTATGCGACCTGGTGGGTGCCATCTTATAAGAATAAAACACACAAACACACACACATTTACATATAAAACATGAATTGCATTCTAGGGCTGTACGAATTTCTGATAGAATTGCCAATACGATTTAAAATATGCGGAGCCCCAAACATGACATGCGGGGGGGAAATATGTATATCATGTCCACAAATTAAAGCCGCTTTTCCACTACACACGACAAACGACAGCCGTTGGACCGGAAGTCGTTCATTTCAAATGTAGAGTAGGTCGGGAGCTGCGTGGAGTTACGATCATATGTGTATGCGGAGATTTCGGAGCTTCGTGTTAAAATATTTGCACTTCTGCGTCCGACCGGATGTTATGTATAGCTGGGTTTCAGTCACGTGATTATGATGACGCGCGAAATTCAGATGGAGGGCAGGGAGTGAAGAGCGCAATGGACGAGATGGAGGAAAGTCCGTACTGTACTACTTTACACGCTATTACAAGAGAAAGATATAAACAAAAAATCAAACATATGTTGGACGTGATCCTTACGTTATGAAGAGGAGCGATTTTTCAACTGAATTGAAAGATTTTCCTGCCATCGAGGCGGTAGATATCAGCAACTACATTGTCTTACAGACATACTTTGACTTTACAAAGTTCGGAAACGTTACACGTTACACAAACATAGCCACTTAAGTTGTATTAACTCACCTTTGACGAAGTGATCACTGCACACACGGGCATTTTCCCATTCGGCTCCTCCCGACCGCAGACGTAAGTTTGCAAGCCGTTTTCACAGAGTTTTTCAGTCAATTTCTTTAATTTTCCCCCCTTATGAACAACAACTTTTGGTACACGATAAAAACTCCTCGTGGTTTGATCGATTTAAGTAACCATAAACGATGCAAAACATAGGCATTTTAAGTTTGTTATAGTGCTTTCTAAATACAGCAAATCACTTCCTGCCCTCCATTTGCATTTCGCGCCATGGCAACGCAGTGGCGTGACGTCATATGAAAACAAGCTATTCTAATCAAAACTATGAGCGCGAAGCTAGAATTACCAATATTTTAACACTTTACCGTTATTCTGTACACACTATTTCTGTAAAATTGCGGTTATTAATAATTATGGCAGAAAATTTTTTTTTAGTAAATCAATATTTATGTTTATTTTAGATGTATTGAGGGTCATTTGTTTTGTGTGGATATATAAAATTATAACAAAAATATTCATTTTACCATGGTGAATAAGCCGAGGTAACGGTTGCTTCACGACCAATTTTAAAGTTCCCTGCGACTGCCACTAGGGGGCGAAATGCGACAATCGAATGTGAATGTGTGTACAGTGGAAACGCGGCTTAACTATTGGCTCCCACGACTTACTACTATGTCAGCATGTTGTACTAATTTGTTTCCTCGGTTTAAGTAAATCGTGCGCACGATATAATTTGTTCACTTGTTTTACTAAAATGTGACCAGGTTGTAATAATTTGTTCCTTTGTTTTCGTTAAATCAAAACGAGGAAACAAATAAGTTCAACGTGGCCACGATTTACTAAAACAAGGGAACAAATTAATGATTCGTGGGAACTAATTCTTAATTTGTGGCCATGATTTACCAAAACGAGAGAATGAATTATCGTGGCTATGATATATATTTTTCATATCGTCGTGCAGGGCTCCATGAAAATGTTTTTTTTTTTTTTTTAAGCTCACGGTTTTCTGTTGTCGTTTGTATGGGCTACATAATTTGGCTAAACATTTAGCAATTTTTTCATATATAAAAAAATTAGTTTTTTTACTATTATTAATTTATTTTGCTGTGAACCAAGCCACTGCGAGACACTGAAAACACTGGATAATGAGCTGCTTACGAGTAAAAAAAAAAACACTTCTCTGTAATAGGCCTAGATAAAATATATTAATTTAATTAGATCACGTCCTTTATGGCTTGGTAAGCGTGTCAGGCCATTGCAGTTTTATTTCGATTAATTGTGCAGCCCTATTGTGTTCTCTTTTCTTCTAGAATTTGCATTCAGCTATCCATCTTTGTTTTCCCTAACCCATCTTTTTTATTGACCCTGTCCGTTTCTTTTCCGTTTCGAGCATCTCACCCCCTCTCCATCCCTCCCCCAACCCTCTTCTTGTCTTCTTCCCTCATCCTTTGCCCATGTGACCACGCCTGCTCTGAGAGCAACTGCAGTCTCACTGCCAGAGGATTCTGCCAGAATACGAATGAGAATCCAGCTTTTCCAGGGAGAAACGTGGCTGCAAAATAGGAGGACAGTGCACATACAAACACACTTACAGATATTGATGTGCCACATTGATTGATTCTGTGACAAATACTGGGTTAGGAATAGTTCTCATTTTAAACAGAGATGGTACACCCCAAGGGCTCTAATAGCCGGCGTATTTAATGTCGTTGTGCATTCTCTTTCCGTGATAGTTTAATATTGACCGTCTGATCGATAATAAAGATTGCATTCATATGGCGAGTCCTATCTGAAATTGATATACGCACGGAAAGTGACCTCGGATATCTATTAAAAATATTCAAAGCCCAAACATTACGTGATGAACAAGTATATTGATTTCTGGAGAGAGAAATAAACCATGTGTATGCCTTAGAAAGGCCACAGAATTCTCATTTGAGCCAGATAGAGTTCGGCATACCCCAAATACTGTTTGTTTAAAACAGAAATCTATGCTGCTATATTTCCGCCCATTGAAGGATGGTGCTTCTCAATTCAGAAAGCTTTATTGGCATGACTTTGACAGGATGACGAGGCCTTAACCTTAATCTTACTGAGCCTGCAAGACCGATCAGCCTGTCAGGCACAAAGCGGGGCATCTTTCATATATCTGCCATATTTCCTATTAAAACAGCTGGGGCGAGACATATCAAAGGACTTTAATAAACATCACAGCCTTGCAAATGCATACAAAACTACTTTCTTTGCAATCAATTGATCAATCACAGACAAACTGCTCATTATAAAAAACATTTTATTATATCTGACTATATGCAAGAAGCCTACTTATAAATGTAGGGAGAGCAGACATGGGCTGCGTCCGAAATCACACTCTCTTGAGTAGGTACTTATTTTGAATAAGTTATTACTTCACGGATGCTAAAAAAGTACTTTTTTAGTATGAATATGTGTAAAATGTAATCTAGATGTAGGCCTATTTGTCATGTTGTCATTATCACGTGACCTACCAGCGTCAGTTGCGTCGCTTCACTGACATTTCTAAATCCTCTCCCGTGGCCTCATGGAATAGTAAAGTGTCCATCTAATAGAGTCCAGGTATGACATCACTTTGTACGCAAAACGCGGAAACGAGTTCCATCATCCTGAAGTCAATTTTTTTTAATGGGATCTGTGGTGAACACAAGCTCAAGACACTTTCACATTTTATTCTACGACATAAAATACATCAATATTACCCCACTCGTGATTTTTTAAGATGTTACGTGTCTTGAAAAAGGTGGTTGCTAACAAGTGCCTAAATGGGATTACAGAGGCAGTCGAGGAGATTAAACATCATCACGCTGAACAGGTAAACACAGTCCGCTTTTACAGCCTTGGTAAGTTATGCTTTTAACTGTGCTCTTATAAACTATTCTAACTCAAACTTTTGCAATATTTTCTAAATGTCGATAGCAAAATATTGCGAAATTACGGCGTTTCCATTAACCGATGTTATGCGACTAAAACTTAATTTTTTCCTCTCACGATAAGTCATCCCAAAAATCATGGCGGCGACGGATGTTGGTAGGTTTACGTATAGCTAGCTACCGCAACATCTTTAAAGAATGATCGTAAAAACTTTTTTGCGATAAATAGGAGTGTTTGCTAAAATGTATGTGTTATCATAGGGGATATTTGCAATTTGCAATTTCAATTTGCGCAATTTGGGTAGCCTAATGGCTAGTGTGATGCTAACTGGAGTTGGCCTACAAAGTGTCACGTCATTCCTGCACCACTATGCACACTTCGTCGGAAGCCAAGGGGGTAATCCATCGACCGGAAGTTGAAGCCGGCCGGGTGCCGCCATGTTGTAGCAGAACTTCACTTGCGTTAGCATTTCCATTGACTCCCATTCATTTTGGCGTCACTTTGATAGCGAATAACTTTACATCTGAGGCATTTAAAGACTCCATTTGTCCATTATTTATTTCTAAAGAAACACCACAATGTATAAAGGGCTCCATTACCTTCTATGTTACATTACAGCTACTAGAAGATTAACGTCTGTCAGACAGGTTTCTCACGTCATCAAGCTTAGTTTGAGTCGGTTTGAGTCTGCGCGTCAGGAACGGAAGTGCTCAAAAATCGCTAAAAATGGGCTTCAACTGTCTCAACTGAGTTCCAATGAGATGGCTCTGTCCACTTCTTATACTGTGGTCGGAAGTTGTAGGGCACCCTGGTACTTTTTTTCCAACACTTTTACGCTCTTTTATGAGTAGCTTTTGTCACATGTTTTTCACCTACTATATAGTAGGGAAGTATGCAATTTTGGATGCAACTCTTTTCATTCTAAAAAGCATTTGATTGGACAAAATGCGCACCACGTCATCAATATTTTCCTGAAGAGAAAGATTTTACATTTTAAATTGGCCTATATGCATGTAAACGTTATTTTTTTCAGTGTTTCGGATAACATTAAAATAAATTATCTTAAAAGTAATAAACATAGAATAAAAACCACAAACGTTAAGTGCTTTAAGTGACTATAACTAGCGAGAGTTGATCAAGAAAAAAAATATATATTAGGCTATATAAAAAACTTACTATTATCAGCGCGTAAATACATCGCTTTCCAAAATAATTGGCCTCTCGGACAGAAATTCGATCGTCCAAGCTCTTTGAGGTAAAGATTTACATTTGATACCCCATACAAACAGTGTTTTGGAGTAACATTCCAGTTATGTTACTTCGTTTACACATATTTTCATTTTCACGAGTACACTATTTTACGTGGAATCCATATAAAACATGAATATCTGCATCGCATTTCTATGACAGGTAAAATATATACGCGTAACGTTACCTCACGAGCCGCAGTCGAGCCAATGCCAGCCCAGTTGCGTTGATAATGGGAGCGCGCTAGTTGCGATCTAGTTTTGTGTGTTGCTCGCTTGCAGTGTAGCAGACACTGTGTAAACAGGCACGGATTAACGCACGGGCCTACTGGGCACTTGCCCAGGGCACTGGGCCAGCAGGGGGCCCTGTAAAATTTACTGTGTCTATTCTTTTCAAATAATTATTTTTACTTTATTTTTATTTTCAGTAAAATTGTGTTAAATATTGAGGAATAATGTGATTTTTTTGCAGTTGCAAAGTATTAACTAGTAAATAAATCAAATAAATAATTTTAATGTATTGCTGCGCTGTTGAGAAGGACATCTAGAGGCGAGTGAAAAGCATTGCGTAATATAAAAGTCACGCGTAGAAGACGGTTACTCAAAAACCAAAACAAAAATGAGTTTAAAACCACAACCAAGACAGAACATAGGCTAAGTTGTTTATGTTTTACAATAGGAGCCTATGGGATTATTTTTTTTAACGAAATGTCAATCTTCATCTTTATAACAGAAGATAAAATACAATACAACAATCTTCAAGATACAATAAATCTTCAAATGTGTAACGGATTGTCACCCTAAAAAGTGTCTTTTGTGGTGGAACAAGCAATGCTATATAGCATCTTAATTTAATCTTTGTTTTATTATTTTAGTTCATTAACTAATTGTTAACTCAACTAATTTAACGTAAAGACCTGGGCTGCGTTTCCCAAAAGCATCGTAAGCCTAAATTGATCGTAAAAACGATCGTACGACTGATCTTAATATTATGGTCTGTTTCCCAAAAGCATCGTAGCTTAAGTAGCACTTGAAAATCTTCGTAGAACTACGAGTGCTCTGGAGTAATCGTACATCCCCAAGAGCATCGTAAGAAGACAGATTTATGAGGTCACCTGCAGGACAACCGGCAGATTACACTTTTATCTAGATTTAACAGATTACACTGCAACGTAAGTATATAGGTTTTGATTGTACTTTATTGCACACTTTGTTGTACTCGTGTTTTGTTTAAATGAATGAATGAAATAATTAAAAGGGGAAGAAAAAAATAGAAATACACATCTAAATTAAACGAATGAACAAAAAACAAAAAGTCATTAAATAAGTAATCTGGGAAAAATGCTTTAAAGACCGGGCAAAATATGGATGAATTAAAAAAAATCTGTCAATGACTTGCTGACGTGCACGAAAACCAGCCATGTATTGGGCATTTCTTGCGGACCTCCTTCCCTGATCTTTGAAGGCGGTTGCAGTTATTTTGCAATGTGACAATGTCCTTCCAGATGTTTTGTTTTTTCTAATTTGTATGGTGTCCTTTAAAACTGTTAAAAATAAAATCTTTGTTTCCCTCTATCTCCTCTAAAAGGACATTCATTTTATCTTTTTGAAAGGTCTCTTCTCTTGTTTTTTTGTTTTTGTTCAGCCATTTTGTCAGCCTGTATAGGTGTTTTATATCCATATAGACTTGTCTTGATTTCTAATCCACAACAAATGACGATTACTAGGTTAAACGTTCAGAATACGATTCCATATAAGGTTATATTTCAGCACTTCGCGAATGGACAGCGACGCTTAAGTAGCACGTAGAGCGCGTTCTCGCGCGTTCATGTTAAGTGCATTTTTGGGAAACGCTCGTGGAATTGCTGCGAACTTTCGTAACCTTGCACGTAGAAAGCACTCTTAAGAGCTAAGATACATTGTTATCGGGAAACCCGGCCCAGGATACTAGAATTACTAATTAAATAGGCCTAAATGTCAACTAGCCTAAATGCATTGATTAGAATTGCCATTGACTAAAGATTTTTCTAGTCGACGACTACTGTAGTAGTCATTCCTTTAAGCAATTAGTCGACTAATCTCACGTTAATATTAATTTCTGCTTAAATACTGAGTAGAGGCATATAGAGGCATGAGAGACCTGTGGTGTAATTTTAGTCAGTCGAAAATGAAAAAACTTCAAGTGGCTTATAATGATGCACTGAGAATTGTGCTTAAAATTCCTGGTGGAGTAGTGCCAGTGAAATGTTTGTGTCTAACAATGTGCCCACTTTTAACGCTGTTTTGAGAAATTTTATGTATAGATTCATGTGCAGACTGACAGGGTCTAAGAATATGATCATTGTGGCCATAACTGATGTTTCTAAGAGTGACACAAGGTATACATCTTGCTTTTGGAAACATTGGACCCGAAGCCTGTATATGTTTTATAAATGATGCCTCATCCGCATCATTTTTAATTGTTTTGTATTGTTTTTTACATCTGTACTGTGTTGTCTCTATGGACCTCTGTGTCTTGAATAAAAGTTGATTGATTGATAGCCTATTCCGCGCTCAAGCAAGCGCATGCATAAATATTGCCGCAAAGCACCGGCAAAAGCAGGCTAATGATAATATTTGTCTGGGGAAAAAAACTAGGCATTTTTATTGTTTAATAATAAAAAATAATATATTTTTTAAATCAGTGTCGGCTGCAAACATATCTATATCTCCGCTGTAAAGTGGATGCGCCTTTAGAGAGAAATGCCCCTTTCATATCATATCAGCCTTATCAGCCGGTATTTGCTTTCGATTCGAATTTTTTCGTTTAAAAGTGGACATTTCAAGCTTTATATAGAAATATTCATCATGCCTGTGAGGCTATAGCTACACTGTGTTTCAGTTCATTTTTTAGACGCGCTCCAGTTCACGCCACGGAGACCATGAAAGCGCGCCCTGTTTGTTTTATTTTATTTTATTTTACAAAAGCACAACGTTTTCTTGTTATTGTGAGTTTACAAAAATAAAAGTAGCTACTTGCGACTGATGCATTATTCTTTTCTGTATAGGCCTATGACCAGAAAAGATTGAGTATTTCAAGTTGTTTCCACTGTTGATAGGAAAATGCAAGTGTTCGCGCCGACGCCTGCCATGCAGTGCGCGCTGCACACTCCGCACAAACACTTTGGATATGCATTTATCTAGGTTAAAGTTAGAGCGAGCTGCCATGCCAGACAGATAAGTCCTTTGCATGTTTAACAAATCAAAGCATACATGTTCTACCTACCGCGAGTAAGCGCTGCACCAGTTTCAAAAAGGTAAAAGCATAACGAGCGTAACGAGCGAGGGGCCCCACACTAAGGGGGATGCAGAGATGTTGCTGCGTCTGTCATTTATTAACATTTCTGTTTAAATGATCAGCCCTCGGGGGTCCCTTTAAAATGCCTGGCTTGCCTGCCCTATTGCGGCGCCTGTGCATGCAGGTGCAACACTGTTGTCCA